GTCGAGATCGAAATTGAAATCTCTCCTGTCGAGATGTAACGGGTCGGCCCCGACAAATATCGCGATTTGGAAAACGGTAACGGTTCATCAAGATCCGTATCAAAGTTGGCGAAATTCTAAATGTAATGAGAGAAATTGCGGCGTCGATTAGATTTGCAAATGGAATTGTCGATTATGGCCAGTAGTCTCTCTCTCTTCCTCTCTCTCTCTCTCTCTTTCTCTCTGTCTCTCTCTCTCTGTCCAGCTCACTCTCTCCTCCTCTATCTCTCTCGCCCTCCTGCTCGCCGCTCGCAATTCCATAAAGCCCGTTTCTATGATGGCAGAGGGCTCCGGCCGGCCCTGCAGGGCTTCGTGCGACGCAGATTAAATGCACTTCATGTAAAATTCAACACGACCCGTGGCAGCCTCGGGCATACTTTCGTTTTTAAAAAAGTTCCATTAGCCGGACGGAATTTTTATACATCTCGCGTGCGCGGACGTACCTCATCGAACGCGGGTTTCGATCGAGACGAAAATCTTCGACGGTTTATCGAAGTAGAGAAGAGAGCGAATACACTGGAAGAAAGAAGTTTAGGGTGCGATAAAAAGCAGAGGGTCAAGAAGATTCTTTGGAAGGAATTGATGGAAATGAATGTTTTTAGACTAGTTCTATTATTTGCTCCCCTTTGAATCGTGGAGGTACTCGTCGCGAGTTGCTGCTTCTGCTCGAGAGATGAACTCGTAAAGTTCAATTTACGTGTAGCGAAGTCTGCAACGAATTGCGGAGTTGTTCATTGTAGAATCCAATATTTAACCCTTTGCGAAGGTTCTTAGAAACATACAATACCTTCGCCAGATGAAATTGAATTATACATCAATCACTTAAACAATAGAAAACAGAGAAAACTCTTGGTCGTCCAAATAGGAAAATTTCATCTCGCCGAAATGACATTCGTCCGCCAAGATCAAAGTGTGAAAACGAAAGTACGAAAAGAGTGGAGCAAAACTAGAAGATCGAATAACTGTTTGCTGCTACTTTCGAACGAAATCATTAAATTAAAGAGGAAAAACTATGGAAGGTAGTTATCAAGAGAATCATCTAAGGGAAAGCTAAAAGCCAACCAAGAGAATCTGCTTCAAACGCAAGCTATCAAAAATGAACAATTCCCCATCAACACACTCCCTCGATCACAAAGAAGAGCAACTCCTCCAACATCTCCCAAGACCTAACCGAGCCGACGATCAAGAAAAATCCCCGCGAAAAACTGAA